GGCTTGCAGAGGTTATGTGCCTGGCTGGTCCTGGTCACGACCATGACTAGTCAGGCCCCTGGTTTTAGCCCTGGTGCAATATGGAGCCAATCTGGGGGTGCCAGCATAAAATGCAAAACGGCAAAGCCTCAGAAATCCGAACCATCAGCCCATTCTAGTCGTGCGTCCTCGAAGTCCACATCGCTATCCGTCACACCATCCATAGCCTCTGACAGCTTAACCGTGGAGAGCCTATATGAAACTTTCCTGCACTTTTCAACATGTGGGTCCCTTTTTTGGCTACCGTTCACATTATTTTCAATGTCGCCTCCATTGGCCCCTTCTACTGTGCGGACAGTCGACGCCATGACTGAAACGAACGGCGCTTAGTGGGTTAAAACAGCACTTTCTGGCGAAATCTTTTTCACTACTTTTTTGGCATTCAGAAGGCCATTTCGCGGAAATGGACCATAGTTATATACTCAGTGCTCATGCCCCTACACTATGCAAAAACCATTTTCAAAAAGGGTCCCACGCCCTGAAAGACCTTCTTTGTCAGACTGCCTCATTGTAAAGACCGGACCCGCTAAAGTGCGAATGAGAAACTGTTAAAACACAAAGGAAGTTAAAAAAGATTATAGTTCATCCGACATAATCTTGTGGCAGCGTTGACAGATCAAAGAAAGGCTCATTAGGCCGATCCTGTGTCGAATTACATCGTTAGTCGAAAACGAGCCGAGATCCGAATTTTTTGCACAGAGAGTATTCCTTGTAGAAAATCAGTTCAATTTATAGATGTAGCGATAGAATGAAAGGCTCGGTTAGATAGCTAATACATGTGTTTCATAATTATGAGGTCACCCTTGATTTTTGCGATTCTGGAGGTGGCCGGAATGGAATTCTTTGGTAACGCTGGAAGATTCCTCATCACAATGTACCTCTGTATTCAACTTTTGGTCGCAATATCCTTCACCTCAAATTTGTTATGAATTTTTTAAAGATAGTGTCGGTTTTTGCACCATTTCATGATTATAAGATCACGCTGAGGAAGAAATGATTTATTAACGTTGATGGCATATGTACAACAGTTAACAATCTACAGCACCTCCTTGCTTAAGTGCCTGCATGGCATACTAGAAACTAGGTTTCGAAGATGTTCCTCATCGATTGCTCTCCATGCTTCGATAACTGCCCGTTTCCGCTCTTCTGTGCCCTGGAACTGACGATTATTCGCATAAATCTGTCTGAATATTATGCCCCAGATATGTTCCATTGCATTGAGATCGGGACTGCAAGCTGGTCATGGCAGGACGCTTATGTATTGGCATTGCAGCTACTCATTCGTTGCACGGCTCACATGAATGAAAGCGCTGTCTTGTTGAAAGACATAGTTGAGGTGACGACAATGGCATAGAAAGGGTACTAGGTGATGCTCCAAGACGTTCTGGTAATCTTTGGAATTCATACTGCACCTCACGAAAGGTAGATCCAACACGACATCATTGCAGAATGCACCCCACACCATAGACTACCTCCGCCAAAATTGAAGTAGACTGCTTCGTTCCTCAAGTCGCACCAGTAGTGCTTGTTTCCGTCAGGACCGTCCAGATTGAATTTTTTTTCATCCGAAAAGACGGCCTGTGTAGGAATTATTCAGTTTATGGTGAGATTTTGATGCAGATCTACCTTTGCCCAATCTCTCCCTAGCTTCATCTTTGCAAATCCGAGTCGAGCCTCTCTGTGGCGATCGGCGATTCGTGGCACCTTCTCCATTGCTTGCCTGGTGATGTTCTCGCATCTTCTCACTGCTCTCCAGACTGTAGTTTTCGACACAGAGAGGTTTAATTCCGATCGGATCTGGTTCAAGGGGGACGTACTGTTGGAAACAGTCCTCAGAATCTTCCGCTCGTCACGGGCAGTAATCTTCCATGGGTGTCCACAGTCGGCGTTATATCTAGGGACATCAAGGTTCTCCAGAAATCCTCTAATGGAACAGGGGGATCTCCCTATTTGCCTGGAGATGGCTCGAGTGCTGAGCCTAGCTTCATGATGAGCCTTCTCATCAGGGGAAAGCAGACGACCCCGAGCCATGTTAACAGTAAGGTTTGGAAATGCATTTGCTACACATGGTTACCTTTATAAGTATCTCCAAACACGAAATTTCCTCTCCTGCATGAATAATTGTTCACTTTCTGGGTGACCTTATAATTTTGAAACGGTGCAAAATGCGATACACTGTTCTATCAAGTTCAGAAAAATGCAGCTCCGGCTGAAAAACGGATACCTAGGTTATTCGTGCTAGGGAATCCGTTCATGATGCTAGAAAAAATGCTTAATGATTGATTTTTTTGAAAGTGCAAAATTTGAAGGTGACCTTATAATTATGAAACGCACTGTATAGCAGCAACTGCACGTATCGCATGATTCTGTCACTTCTCGAAATGCCATTTCTCCGAGAATGATTCCTTAATACTCAGCCTTACAAAAAGTGTAAATGGTCCTCCGAACAACTCTGTACTGCAAGTCAGGATTTTGCTTCCGAAAGATTTGATTGTTTCTTATATCAGAGCGAATGTCAGTCGGATGGCGTGCCTCTGGAATCTAGTCCCACTTTGCTCTTTATTTACTCTACCCTGAAAATCTACTATTCTGTTGTGCTTAACTTCCAACACTCAGCTCTATCTTTTATCGAGATTTCACGATATAGTAGTTCAAAAAAGTCTCAGTAGTTCCATTAGAATTCCTAAGTTTATTGTATGCTTAAAAATTCAAGCACAAGCTAACCAAAAAGCTTACTATTTTTTTGTGCTCTTCTTCCCGCTGAGCTGACGGAACAGGGTTTCTTGGGAATTTCGTTTCAAAGAGAACTATTGGCACGATATCCCCCGTGAACTCCGTTCAATTCTCGATTTGAACTGTCATATCGTTACCCACGTCTATGCTAACGACAGTCATCTTATGAATAAAAAGTGGCACTGGAGTCATGCTTTTTCTGTGCCACTACTTGGACAATACTGCTGTTCCTTTTGTGTTTTTTTGACCGGCTAATCTTTCTATATTGTTTGCGACTCGTTGAAACTTACGATCTGACTTTCTGACACGGAATGTCTCCAGTTTGACGTTAATTCAGAGCTCCGTCACTAGGGGAATGAAATCTGTTTGGATCCAATGGGCAAAGTCTATCATTGGTTTCTACCACAAAGTTTGGAACACTTTGGGCCGTATGCATGTCGCCAGGGTAGGGAAGGGCAGAATCACCTCAAGAAGTGTTCACTTTGCCGTGGGTCAGATAAGTGATGCCGGAACGCAATACTTTACGCCTCCAGTACAGTCTGGGCAATGTTAGATAAGTATCCGAAGTTCGTGTTTTCGATTAGATGAGCCGGTCTTTGAAGAGAGCGTGGATATTTGCCCCCGAAAGCACCTTAACAAAGTGAAGGGGGATTATACCCTAAGAACGCTCAGGGAAGTAGCAGATGATTAGGATGTTCTCCAAAACGCACTTAGAGGGTTGTGGAAATCTTGGCCGAGCATCCAGTTATCGCGCCCCTGAGTACAAATTAACCTTAGTTAGATGCAAAAATCAAATATCACAACACTTCTTCCGAACCGTAATTAAGTGTTTAACAAGGAAGCAAATGAAGAGGACAATAAGAAAATGAAGGGTCTAGACAAAAGTAGCCTCGAACGAATAAAATTTGCATACCAGATTTCAGATAAATAGTTGACATTGTGGTCACTAGATATTAAATACCTAATAAATACCATTTGGCTCAAGAGTTGGACTATTTCGCACCTTCCACAGGATTTTCAGAGATTTGGGGCTGAATGCAGCGCCATCAGAAAGGTTCCAAGAACCATATGACCACATACATCGAGGAATACTTATTCGATACGTGCCACTTCACTCTTCAACCTTTACATTTCTGCGTTATCCTCGGTTGGGGGTCCTCATTCTTCGAGAGTCCTGCACATACGCAACCTTACTGTATGCAGCTACTCCCAGCACCGCAGCCCTCGGCTTCACCTCTCATAAAATTTATACCTCTCAATTTATACCTCTGATACACATTTGATAAATATTCTTCCCCCCAATTCACCGCATTGAAGCATCTCAGTACGTTGCAGCGTCTATTTCAACCTTTACATGTGATATACACATAATTATCGTTCGAAAACATACTTTTTTGCTGTATGCGTTGAACTATCTCACTTTTGCTATCATCATACATCTTTAACTAGTCACCCTTCACTTGATTATGAAGGATATGGATAGCATAGCAAGCATAGGTTTCCAGACTTGGGCAAGAAGTTATTCTTGCATGCACGAGTTCGCACACCCCTTTTCAAATAAGGTTCATTGAAAAAAAACAAACGAGTAGAAGGTGCTCGACCACAAGTGTAACACTTGACAACACTCAATTTGGTGTCACGATTGAGAGCTAAAAACAAAACCGAAAAGTGAATAAGTAAAGACAACAGCATGACCACTTTCTTCGTCTGAAATGGCCAGATGTGCAAAAGATAAGATGTTATAGCCATGAAATAATCTTCTTCTTCTTCTTCTTCTTCTCCCTAGCGTTAATCCCGCGCCGTCGCAGGATCCGCTGTTCTTCTCAGCCGTCTCCATTTCATTCTATCTACGGCATCTTCTGCCTTCACCTTGGCTTCGGCGAGGTCCTTCTTGATCACGTCCCGCCATCTCTTCTTTGGGGTTCCTCGTGGTCGCTTACCTTGAGCCTCGAATTCCATTGCTTCCCTTATCGGACGGCTCTGTGGTCTTCTTAGTACATGCCCGAACCATCGCAGGCGCTGCTCTCTCATATACAGTTGAATTGGAGCTGTTTGCATAGCCGTCCTGACGGCTTCATTTTTGACCCGATCCAGCCGCGTCCAGCCGCAGGCCCATCTGAGCATTCTCATTTTAGCGGAGTGGAACTGTCCTTCGTGGGGTTTACTCACGGGCTAACACTCGCTGCCGTAGAGAATCGTGGGCCTTACCACTGTCCGATACACCTTTCCTTTCAGGGTCCTGGAGCACCGACGGTCGCAGAGGATACCGGTGGACTCCCTCCACTTCGTCCATGCCGCATTTATTCGCCATTTTTTCACGGCCTGGTCCACGCTACCATCAGCGGCTGGATCACTCCCCAGATAGCGGAAGTCCTGGACCTTTTCGATGGCTTTCCCGCGACCGTAGACGATTGACTCCGTGCCCTCCTCGGAGCTGAGGAACTTGGTCTTATTCATGTTCAGCCGGAGTCCACTCTCCTCCAATACCCTCTGCCAATTCTGGAGTTTATCCTGGAGTTCATCCTTGCTCTCCGCTATCAGAGCGATATCATCAGCGTAGAGAATGGTCTTCAGTGGTCCACCCATGAGTTCTTCTGTGATTACGTCCATCGTGAGCAGGAAGAGGAACGGGCTTAGAGCTGATCTCTGGTGTACTCCAACCGTGACATCTATTGCTCCGGTTTGGCTGTGTGGGGTGCGTATTGTTGTGGTGGAGCCATCGTACATGTCCTTCACCAGAGAGATCAGGTGTTCTGGAACCTTTCGTTTTCGGAGCGCTCTNCATCACTCCAGAACCATGCTTCCTTGTCCCCTCGGAAACCACCTCGAGTTTCCCCCAGCGTTTCCTTTGCACATCGCAGGATGACCTCCACAGCGTTGCTCCATGTCTGCTGGATCGGCCCTTCGGGATTTGGAAGTCCAGCTTTCAGTATCTTCTCTTTGAGGTGTTCTCTTTCGGATTGGTGCAACTTCCACCACCGGATCCTCCGTTCCGTTCTTGTCCTCGATTTCTTGGGAGGATCGATGGCTATGTTTGCTAGAAGAGGTCTGTGCTGTGGTGCCAAGTCTTCTCCGGGCAGTGCCTTGATGTCCTTTACAGTTTTGAGGGACGATCTTCTTACCAGCACATGATCTATTTCCGTTTCTTTCCCTCCACTGCTGTAGGTTACCTTCTGAGACTTTCTTTTCCCGAAGAAGGTGCTGCAGACTGCCAAGTCGTGAGCTATAGCCAGGGCAAGGACTCTTTCTCCCTCATCGTTTCTGACTCCTACACCTTTACCTCCATGCACCCTTTCCAGTCCCCTCCTTTCACTGCCGACGTGCCCATTCAGATCACCTGCTATGGTAAGATAGTCCCCCTCCGGAACTGATCGGATGGTCTCGTCAAGGCTCAGATAGAACTCATCTTTTTCGTAGATGGGGCAGCCGGTTTGAGGTGCGTACACTGATATTATTGTCCAGTTCCCCTCTTTCGTGTCTATCCTCACCGATATGATTCGACTGCTGACCCTGTTGACGGCGGAGACAGAGTCTTTCAGGGAGTGTGCCACTGCTACAGCCACACCATTTCGTTTGGTGTCTTCTCCGTTGTAAAAGATTTGACACCCTCTCCAATTTTTCTGGCCTGCTCCCTTCCAGCGGGTCTCCTGAAAGGACTTGGATGTTCCTGCGCTTCATAGATCAGCGACTTCCCGGGACTTCCCAGTAAGCGATCCCACATTTAGAGTCCCTATTCGAAATAACTTCTTTGGCCGAGGTCGTTCACTCCTCGGTAGCCCTCGCGTACTGTCCACAGAACTCAGGCGAGGGCCCTGTGCCCCACTCTTTCCGGGTGACGTCCTAGCTTTATCACGGATACTCTTTGAGTCATATTTGTTGTGACTGGTTTCTCCATCAGCCGGCCTGTCAACCTGGCCTGACGCTGGTACCGATACCATTTTTGCAAATTCTGCAAGGCATGGATTTGCCTCGGCAGGGATCGAACTCGCACTCCCTCTAAGTGCAGACGTGAGCCTACATTCCTATCCACTCGGCTATCCCTGCCTATAGCCATGAAATAATACATAAGTTATTTGAACCCATACTATGTGCTGACAGAAATAATTCTGGTTCCCTCCTCCCTCAAATCACATCAGCACCATGATGCAACATGCTTACAATAACTAGTTTTAATCCAGAAAGAAGAACCTGCCTATTCATCAACCCATTTCCTTCAGTGTCGACTACAGCAATATAAATACATAAGTTGGTAGCTGCTTGCAGCAGTAGGCTAAAACCAGAGCAATACTAGACGAATTCAGCAGCTGTGATCAGAGGAATAAGCTCACAGGCGAATAATGCAGTGAATAGCGGAGTAACGGTTTACATGAGCATCGGCATCCCAGCACAATTCTAGAGGTGTATTCATCCTCGTCCTGTGAAGGGAGGCCTCTCTTCCCGGGGTGAGGAGTGAATGGGGCGCGCTTTTCTGAGCTCTGGCTAAGGTAAGGTCGCAGAGGTCAACGTCACATAATTGTCGAGGGCTGCCGATCCTTCACATGTTGATGGGGAAAACTTTGCTTGATTTCCACTATTTTGACACGGAACGGAAGCGAAAACACGGTTTGAACTTTCGCGCCCTTCGCAAACATTTTCTGGGGATTTTTTCTCTTTCCCCACCTTGGGCGTTATGCGTACGGCCTCTTGTTTTAAAAACCTCATGAGTTGGTTTAGGGCTTTTCGTCATTCTGGAAGAAGCTGAGCTGCTTCAGCTTATAATATAGCTTATAATATATTATAATAAATAGATGAACATGTCGTCTGTTAGATGCACCTTCAATATATTCATTAGAGGTGTGATGTGTTACTCCAGTTGTCATTATGCGTAAGCAAATAATAGATTTCTATTAGTGTATCCCTTCCGATGATTAGCGTTCTTATGCCCTCCTGGTGCTGCCTTAAGACGCCGCAATCAACAATATTCAAATTTCCTCACATTCGGCTGCTTATTTATTTTATTTATCATATACGCCATATAAGACAGCGTTGAAAAAGAAAACATAAACAAACGTAAGCAACACAAAATATAACGATAGAACAAACTAATTCTGAGAAAAAAAGGTGGCAGCTATGCTTGTAAAACATGGCTACTGGCTACTGCTGGTGTAAGAACTCCCTCTTACTGACATTTATCTGGGGATAACTTCAAGGTTTTTTTTAATGAATGCCTCTCTTCTTTTGAATTCGAGCTTCTACAAATTACTTTTGTAGTCACAAAGACAGCTCTCTGCATCGCTGCATCTTCCCACGCTGTAGTCAGTCTGAATGACCTGGTCAGATGAGAGTATTCCATTAGAATCTAGCATGACTACTCCTTTTATGCGCTCGTTCCATCAATAAATATCAGGCCTCAATATTCTCTGAGAACGTGAGACTTCGACAGGCGTTGTACTGTCTGAACAGCTTTTGAGGATTCCCATAAGTAAATTAGAAGTTATGCACTCATTGTTGGTACTTCAAAGCTGTTTTCTCACCGACTTCACTGCCATACTTCTAGGCTGGCGGATAGTATGAGCACCTTTTCGTTTTCATGTTGTAAAATCTTTGGGGATTGCTTTGCAGCTTTCATTGCGAAACATGTGTAAGGGCAGGTCAATGCACTCTTCATACCGTATCTGCCGTAGGCCATTTGCAAAAATCGCTCTTAACTCAAAGTATTTTAAACCGCTTCTGCTTTATAAGTTCAGAAAAAACGTTAGTCCAAATCGAGCGACAGGGGAAGGATGTGATGCGGTACGAGCCTCCGTTCTTTCTCACAGCACAACAAGGAATTTGTTCCAAAAGTTCAAAAATAGCCACTTTGACTAGACCGAAAAACCACGATCTGGGAAACCAGTTGAGCTGAGTGACGACCACCTCCTGGAGCTGGTTGAAGAGGATTCCAGGTGTAGTACCCGCGAGTTGACACAGAAGCTCAATAGCCATCAAGACACAGTAGCTGTCCATTTGCATCGCCTTGGAAACACATGAAGATATGGACATATGGATAAGTAGTGAGTTGGGTGGTCACCACCTGCAAATGAGTAGTGATTCATGCCTGAACTTGTTGACTTTCCGGCGCTACTATCTACTTATGTCTGGAAGACTTAATCACCGGCAACGAGAAGTGTGTTCCATAAGTAAACCGTACAAGGAAGCGCTAGTGGCTGGGGCGCGTAGAGCATGGAATCCCGACCCCTAAACAAGAACTCTAACATAGGAAGGTAATGCTTCGCGTTTGAAGCCATTCGGAAACATCATTCACTAGGACTTGCTGCCACCAAACTCCACTATCAGCACCCAAGCCTTGTGTACTCTGTGAACCATATTGCTACAGATCTACGAGAGAAACAGAGGAAAGTCTACTATCTTCACGATAGTGCTCGCCCACACATATCGAAGGAGGCCCAGAAGAAACTTCAAAGCTTGGGATGGCATGTCCTGGCCCTCCCACCACATTCACCAGGCCTGGCTCTAACGGATTATCACCTGCTCCTCTTGCTGTCAAACCATCTGAGAATTTCGATGATGTGAATTATCTCGAGACGTGCACCGGCGAGTTTTTCTCCTCAAAACCCCAAGAATTCTATGCGAGCAAGATCCACAAGTTGCCTAATAAATGGCCATGCCTTGTCGATAGTGGCGGTGCATATATACATATGTTAATTATTATTGGTCGTGAAAGAAAAAACAAACTGAAAAAAAGTGCAAAAGGCGCACATACTTTTCCGCCGACCCCTAGGGAAAGACAAAATTATGAAAGCATTTGCCTAGCGTGGAGCTGATGTGGATCGAATATTTATGAAGGCAAAGTGCATACAAAATAACACGCTACATGTACGTCGTCCTCCTGCACTGATAAGAAATCAATCATTGAGGGGGTTTACTACTTCTCTTCAAACTAATATGATTAATTTCTAAACACACTGTAAAGTAGCGATGAATATTTTCACCAAAGTACTTATTTCAAACATTTGGTTTGGCTAATTCTTTTTATCCGGCATTTCCAGCGAAGAAAAAAGTGAAGCAGTGACAGCTACTAGTCACCCGTGTTTCTGGCACTACTGGCACCTTCTCGCCAGTGCGGTAGTATTCAATTCAGTCCCGTGTGTTGCTGTGGGTGATCGACCACATTTGACGGCTGAACATAATCGGCTAATTCGATGTCAGATCTGCTTCATTTATTTCGTGTCCTTGCTATATGACTGGAGGAATTTTAACGCTATTTTCCACAAACGATCAAGGAATAGCTGGGCGAAGTTATAAAGAGCTCTATGATTTCGCTAGTAAACAGCAATTCCATTTGGGAAAACCTAATAACCTTTGTTTTTTTCAATTGTACCTCTAATTTAGCACTACACATTCTCGTCATTTCGCTATCTTATTTCTATTCCTCGTACGGCGACGATTGAGACACTCGTAATAGAGTTGTTTGTTGAGTTTTTTCCTGCACGTGGCCATCGTGATTTTTCTTGAATCGCATCCCTTCCAAAAAGAGACATGCCGACAGCCACGTTTCAGGCGCCAAGAAAACTCAGACAACAGTAAGGTGAAGATCCATACGCCGTGGCGAGGGAGGATTAGCTACACATGACCTATAAAAAATTTTTTGAAGGCATTCAAAATGGTTTCCGAGATTTCTCCTCAGCATAAGCATGTGACCGCGATAGCCTGGGGAACGCTTTCGGGTCGAAAAACAATTGATATAGGGCGTAATAAAGGCCTCCTAAAATCGACACAGCCGACGTATACACCCAAGGCGGACGAGTTGTTAAGCGTTGTTGAAGCTGTGAGGGTTGCACCATCCGCACCGCAACCCACGTCTGACGCAAGCAGCGTATTGCAGTCAGCTGCTAGCTTCCATGCAGCTCTTTTCATAAAATTTTCGTCCAATCCAACCCCTGACTTTACTTATTTTTTGTAACCTTGTAATTCTCTAAATGTGGCGATTTTCGCCTTTTCTTCGCCACTTTCGCACTGTTCTGGACTATCACTTCCAATACTCGTCTGAAACTACATGACCCTGAATTGATGTGAACTTTGATTCTAAGCCTGTCCTCACAAGACATTGGAACCTCGCTGGAAGAAAAGACGAATGGAGGAGAAGGTCTTATCGATCCTGAGCTTGTGTAGAGAATGTGTTGTCAAGGATTTGAGCTGGCAGTATGTAAACTTCGATTGGCCGTTGCAGAGGCAGTACTGTAAACAGTACATGCACGTATCTGTAGCTTCCGCTTAGACGATGTACCTTGTCTCTGCATCTGCTGTCATCTTTTCCAGGCACTGGGAAGCTTGATGGCTTTATTATCTCTCCTCAAAGGCATCAAGAAATTACTTGAAAGAGGTTTCTTTTCTGGGTCAAATGCAACAACTAATCTGCTTTTCAGAGCGAGATATGTGTGTATTCACTACTGATATGCACCATTTTCACTTGACAGCCTTTCACAAAAACTCCTCCACAGTATTTGGAGTTGATATGTTGGTGCGCGCCATGCCCAGAGTACACTTTGCTTTTAATGTTGAAAATTTCGGTGGGTCTTTGAAAGTGTTCTCTTACCTACCTCACCTCTTCGGCACTTATCGGCCTCTATCTTCGTTGCCTACTCGTCGACTTCCTTTCGAATCATAAATCCCATAATCTGATCGCTTGCTATAATATTACTGAATTCTGATAATCAAACCTGTGCAACTTATTTATGGAGGTGTCAGCAGCGTATTTTTTCAGTTGAAAAAAGCAACTCACTTACTTCGCTGTATAGTGGCCTCTAGAAAATCTGCTTTTCAAAAGTTACAATTTTAGGCTATTTTTAAACACAGCATAATACATATTTCGAGGAGACTGATTACCTTCTGAGTATGTGTATGTGTAAATGAAAAACTCTTGAGTCAAATAAATAGCTTTTCGAGCCTTCCTCGGGCC